AAAGGGAGGGGGGGGTTCCCCCGCGTGTTTTTCCCCTTTTTCGGCACCCTTTTTTGGACGCCAACGGGGAAACTTTTTACAGGAACAACAAAATTTTCCGGCCCCGCGGAAATTTTTAAGATTATTTTCCGTTAACCTTGGAAATTAGGGGGAAAGGTTGGCGGAAATTTTGGGGGGGCTGGATTTGTGTTTTTTTGGGCCCCTTCGGGAACTTCAAAACCCTTTTGGGTTAAAATCCGGGGGGTAGTTTTTTGAGGGGGAAGGGGAAAAACCCCCAGGTTACACCCCCGTGTGGGGAAAAGTTTTTTTTGGGGGGTGGGGCCCCGTGAAAACCCGGGGGTGTTGAAAAAAAAGGGAAAGCCCCCCCCTTTTTTTTTTCCCCAGAAAAAAAAAAATAGGGGGCCCCCCCCCTGGACCTTAATTTTTGGAGGGGGCCGCAGAGAAACGGGGGGATTCTTCCCCCGTGAAAAGGGGCCCCCCTTCCCCCCCCCCCCCCCCTCAGTCAGCAAAAATCAGCCGAAAAACACGCGAAGTGCGTCACAAGGTTCGCTCGACGCTCCCCGGCGGGGCCCCCGCGTTCGACCCTTCCCACCCGGGCCAAGAAGGGGGCCACCCCCCTCCCTGCCCTCGCCTGGAGTCAGCTGATCCGGCCCCGCTGGTAGCACTGCTACCGCCAACGCCACCACCGCCAGCACCAGCACCACCGCCGCCGGGACCAGCACCACCGCCATCGCTGTGCTGCTGCTGGATCGACCGTGCCCTTACCATGGCTGCGTTCGCCGACGCTCTCGCCATCATCGCGTAGTCCAACCCGCCCGGCCCTCCCCCCTCTCCTCGTTCTTCTCGATCCAACTTCCGACCGCCGGCACCGGCTGCATCCGTCCTGTACCCGGGGGGCCCGTAGCTCGACGACGACTGGGGGTGGGGGGGTGCGGTCGACCTTCCCGCCGCCGCCCCCACAGCACCGCCGGGGACACTGACGAAAGTGGACATAGACTTCGGATGCAAGGATCTCCCGCCGCTGCTCGGCTGCGACGTCCCGGTGCCGTCCCTCCCTCCACCCGTTAGGCTCGCCAGTACGCCGAGTCCCCCGCCGCTCATGAAGGGAGCGCCGATGCCGGCGGGCGCGATCATGCGATTCCCGCCGCCGGACACACCGCCGCTTCCGGCCGCCCCTGCCGCCCCCGGCCCATCCAGCAAGCTACACGTACCACCACCTACCCGGCTGCTGCCGTTGATGCTGCCGCCGTTCACCTTGCCGTCCGTAGAGGACAGGTGCTGCGGGAGGGAGGACGACATCATCATGGAAGCGGCGGATGTGGAAGGAGAGCTGTGGAGCGAGGACGTCGGCGACGACGACATCTTGTCGCCTCCGGCGCCGCCGCTGCCGCCGCCGCCGCCGCCGCCGGGCGGCGGTGGCGGGAGAGACGACAGCAAGGAGTGAGATGAAGACGACATCCCGGAGGAAGAGGAAGGCTGAGCGTTTCCGACGGCGGCAGCAGCGGCGGCTAGAGAAGGGACAGGTCCGGACATGGGGTGTTCCGATAGAGACATGCCGGTGGGGCTCTTGCCTAAGCGCGAGCCCGCGCCTGCTGCGCCTCCTTCCATATCTTGTTTCGGTTGGTGCAGCCGATTTGACGACGAGCCGTGCGTCTTATCCTAGAACAAAGAAACGCGCGTTGGAGCAGGATGTAAGCACGGGGCACGCATGACACTGCGTGCTGTCGTAGGAGAGCAGCTGACTGAAGGTACAAGGAGATAAACCTTATCATTTCATCTACCGTCGGATGCATGAAATACCCTACTCCCTCAGCCGATTTTCAAAACTGAGACGTTTCGTTTCGGAAGTTTCTCTCCCTTGACAAACACTGTTCCAATGCTGCCGTTCGCGGCACCGTCACTGGTAGCTATGCAGCTTACGGTGTGCACCTCCCTGCCGGTCGCTGCAGGTCGAAAATGCGAGCAAAATAAACCACACAAAGCTAGACTTGGATCGTTTACAAGCACGTAACGCACGGTTCTATATATATATTGTACATCAGGAGCGACAGGCACGAGGAACGCCGAAGACATGGTCTTTCGGCTTCAAGTACCGAAACAACTCAGGCGAAGGCAGAGGTGTGCGATCGATCTTGGAAGCTCGACTGCTCAACAACCAGAAGGTAAAACACCCGATGTACGACACGTGCAAAGAAACACAGCTCTCGGCGAGGTAACATCTCTCCAAGGCCAACCTTTTTCGGCACTGGCAACCTCTCTCGGTTGTGGAGAAATCGAGCGCTAGCAGTCTATCATACACCTACCGCGTATTCGCCAGCACTCTGACGGTATTCCGACGCAACTTGCCATCATCGGAAGGAAGACTCTGGTGTTTCGCCCGCCTTCTCTGGCCTACCGGGGCGCGTCGGATCTAGATCGGTCGGCTACGAACATTGCACCTCCACGAGCAAACGACTGCTGAGGGACAAAGTCTTACCGCCTCGTACAGCGCCATCCGGAGAGCCGCGTTTTCCGCCCGAAACTTGGTGTTGAAGCCTATCTTTCCATCCGGCGACACCTCGGAAGCCTAAACGTTCGCACAATCGCACAAGACACAGCAGTCGGGTGGACGGAAAAGGTCAAGTACAGAGGGTCAAAGAAGCAGCTAGATGACAGCATCACACGGCTACCGAAATTGTGCGGGAGATCGCACCGACCCCCCGGACCGACTGCTTGCCGATGTGAAACGTTTGGTTTGTCGGGATGCCCAATCAACCCATGACATATAATCTGCTTTGGAAAAGCAAACGCAAGATTGGTGACCAGCTCCTTGGTCATCCTTGTGAAACGTAGCCCGAGCCAGGGAAAAACCGGCATATCGCTCTGTCCTGGCATTATCAAGGTCTGTGGTCTACCGACAACGCCATGCTTTTACATGAAAACAAACCCCAGGACCGACACTCCCGGCTCGATCGATTGGTCCACAACCGAGAGGGCGCTATCGAAAAACCGGCTGGCAGGTCAAAGGCAATCAATCCCTCGACGAGCGAGAATTTTCTCTCCTAAACCACCCTTTCCGAGCAACCGAGCTGAGAAAGTCCATCTGGTGGTTGGGTGCGAGCGAGCACGCACACGCGTACAATGGGCCGGCCTACGCACGGGTCAAGAAATTGGAGAGTACACAAGAGAACCGCCCAATGATCCTTGAGTCTATGGCGTCACTAAACCCGTGCATCCACATTACGCCAAAGTACTTATAAGAGGGATACAGGAATCTCAGCAGGCTTCCAAGCGGTTGGAGGTCACCAACGGTACAAAGAGACAGGTGCTGTGATCGCAATTTGAAATGAAAGGCGATGCCTGCGCTCCTGCTGCCGTTCGGCTGTGCGAGGGCTCACACTTCGAGTTGACACATGTTTGCCCTCGAACCGGTCCAAAAATAACCAGAGAGAGAGAGAGAGAGAGAGGGAGAGGGAGGGACTTATCCTATCCAGGTCTGCCTCAATTGCCGTCACTTGAAAACCATAGCTACATCGCCCCGCACCTGTGTGATGCACAACCCGGACTCACCAAAAAAGAGCCAAAAAAAAGACACTCACCACCATTTGTCGAAAGATCTCGTTCTGTTCCCGAAGCTCCTGGTTCTCTCTTGTCAAGAAAACCACGCTTCTCCCCAGCTCCTCGATGCGCATTTTTTTTCTCCGCCTAGACTCTTTCGCGGCCTGACGGTAAGCGCAGCGGTTATCCAAGGAGAAAAAATAGCAACGCGGGGTTTTCCACACCATGGGGGCGGCCGGCGCGGGAGACGAAGGGGCTGGCGTTAACGGGGGAGACGGAGGCTAATAACATAATCTTTTGTAATCGCAGAAAGGTTGTGCCGTCGAAATGTAATGATCTGCTGCGATCGGTGTATGATCGCAAAAACAGACCGGTTATGGAACTTTGCATTTACACTGCTGCTGGTGTTGCTACGCCTACCAGAAGACTGAGGCCGATCGTATCGTCAGAGATGAGCAGACAGGGTTGGCTAAGACGTTTTGAAGACAACATTGTTTTAAGACAAAATTGGGAACCAGCCGTTCAATAATCCTTGCGCATCGACATCAGTTGGTTTTCTAGCGAGCGGGTCCATTATTACCACAAGGCGAAAATGTTTCAACTTCGCTCGGCGGTAATATCGCCTGAGGGGGGGAGACGATATACAGCACTTCGGAAACACAAAAAACGCTAAATAGCCTTTCAAAGGTGTTCTACCCGCGGGTATGTACACACTGCGAGAGGACGCGTGACACTAACTCGAGGTTCTCGGCAAGGGGTTCGACAACAAGCGAAGCAGCAGCGGGGCCACAGCCTACAAAAGGCAACACACGCGAGATCGTACAACATTCACCAACAGCGAGGGCAATGAGAAGCCATCCGATCGACATGTACGCAGTATTCACATACGGGTGTCTCTACAGCCGGCAAATGCAACGCACGCTGCCGCGCCTTGGGCGGTAGCAAAAATGGCAACGTCACCGAGTTGTTGGTCGGCCGCCAGCATTCCAAATTTCTGAAAACCGACCTCAACCCAGAGCCTTTCCTTGCCCTACTGCTGTAATGCTTAAGGGCTGCCGCACCCAGCGGTCAAAAGTTGAAGTGTCGAATACTGCTGTATCTCAGGTGCACTGAGAATTCCAGTGCGATAACCAGGGGAAACGGCCGAAGGTCTCATCAGTTCTTCAAAACATCCACTTTCCTATCATCGGTCTTTCTCAGGAAGGAGGTCGCTATTGTGGTTTGTTTACGAGCGACAGAGAGAGGAGGAGGAGAGAGAGAGAGAGAGAGAGACCGCAAAGAGCCGAAGTTCTTATCCAAGGCCCAGCATCCCAGAGAGGACAGAAGCCCAGCAGCAACCACAGCATCAACGGCATACACCAACTCCTTGTGCGGCACGCGGAACCGTTGTGTGTAGTGCGTCAAGGCCATCGTCCCGTCCATTGTGGAGGAAGTCCACAATACACCTTTCCTGATGAATGTCCGACACATCAGCAGGGTAGGTCACACAGGAGTGAGGCAACGACAAGGAAAGCTCCTGTTTATTTCTCTCCCACCCACCCTCCCACCCTTGCGTGATTCCCTTCCACTCCAAACGCGAGAAGAGTGGGTGTTCACCAGCCCGTTTCCGTCTGATCGATCGTGTACGCTTAAAAACAAACTAATTTTTTTTCCGACGCAGAACTGCACATCGTTCACTCCAACTAAGATATTGGAACCCACAACGAGCCGCTCAGGCAGGTCTGCGGAGCCACCCACTGCTGTACTTGGAACACCGGGGCGACCGGCCTGCGTACTGTTCCAAAACGGCCTGAGGTCAGAACAGCAGTGGCGTTTGCCACTTGGCAACAGCAAACAGAAAAGAGCGGAACGCGACGAAATTTCGACACGAAACGCGGGCACAGGTGGCCGATGGACTGGCCAATCCCGACGGAGGTAGCGCTTGCCCTCTGGCATCGCAGAGCCTCTGATGCACGAGGGGTGCTAGCATGTCTACCTAAAAATCGCTCGCTTGGTATTCTCATCTACGAGTATGACTTGGTACCATGAAACAGAAACACATAGTCCGTCGACGGGGCACACGAAAAACAGAAGTAATTAGGCCGTGGGGGAGCGCGCACCAAAACACCATGCTTTGTCGTGTGCAACAAGCCTACCAGTACACACTGGCGTGGGTAAGGCGCCTGTTCGGTTCTTCCTTGTATGCACAAATGTACAAACCACAGAACGCTGAATGCACGCGAACACATTCATTGACTGACTTCGCCCAAGCTTCTCGCAGTCCCAGGCAGAGCTCTCTACAGCAGTCTCGAGCACTCACCCATCACCGAAACAGCAGTTGCAGTCAAAACGAACTGCAGCAGCACTACCATCTCCCATACACCCATACACCCCGCCGTGTCTATAAATCACTGCAGCTGTATAGAGCGCAGCGCACCTTTCTGTTGAGCTCGAGCCTTCGCCTTCTTTTGCTGTCCATGTCGCCGCCGCTGCCCGCATCCCCGGCGCCACCGGCCCTATCCAACCCCTCGCTCTCCCCCCCCGAGGAGGTGGCGTCGTCTGCATGGCCATCATGCATCTCGCTGTCGGTAAACGCAAGAGGCGTGGAGCGTTAATTTCCACTTTTCCTTTAAGGTTCGGAGACGCATGTATGCACGAGACACTGTGCTGTTCGATCATACTGCTGTACCCCGCGGGTGGTTGTTGCTGGAAATGGTGAAATAACTGTTCTGCATGACACCAGTTACTGCTGTGTAACAAAGCACAACGGAGATGCCGAGTCTTAATTTGCCATGGATGTTTATGTAAACCTGAGTAATGTGCAAACCACCCCGGGGACTGAGCGAGCGTCTGGTCTCAAGATTCGGCATTTTCGTCGAATAGCTGGTGCTGCTGCAGTCTAAACGGGATGAAATGTGGCGCGCCGACCGATGTGTATGTACCTATGACCTCCCTCCCTGCTGTTGATGAGAAGCAAGGGCGGAATACATGCGCGATGATGGTCCATGCACTTTGCGTTACAAAAACCTGCATACGGTTGGGTTGTAAAAGAAGACCTCTGTCACTCAAGACGCTAACGATGATGCTGCCGCCCATGTCAACACCCGGCCAAGGGAGAGAGAGAGGGACCAGCATCGGTGAGGCGCCCCGCCACTGCACCACTGCTGGTGCGACAGCAGACAACACACGCATATGCCCACCTTCCTCAAGTTGGCACATTCGGCGGGCGGCCATTACAAACGGGGCAACCCTACAACCAAAGCTCAATCAACAACATCGCTGTTGTCGACCCATTTTGCGAAACTCTTCCAAGGACGAGGCCCCCCCCTGAAGCGAGGCTCGCAGCAGCTGCCGCGAGGAGACGAAATATTTAAAACCAAACCTGCTGATGCTGGTCGGCGGCGGCGGGGTAAAGAGACTCGCTGCTGCACATCAGCTGCGCCTCTGCCTCCCGGCGATGAGATTCGGGACGGTGACGGCGGTGGTGCTGCTGCTGGGGCAACTACCCCTCCCTGCATCGCCGCCGGCGATCGCAGGTTGCACCGTGGTTGGGATGCAGACGCCGGCCAAACGTCATCTGAAGCCATTCTGCTACTAATATCGGTGATGCTACAAAACTAGAACCCTGGGAGCAGAGAGCTGCAACAGCAAACTCTGTTGTCTACAACAAGTAGTCTTTTTTCGTCCCCTACGCGAGAGGGACCCTCGTATTTTCGTCTCCAAAGCTTTCCCAAAGAGATTATGATTCCCCCCACCAGAATCGGCCTGGTCGCTCACCTTGCTTCCCGCACGGACGAGATTCTTTCACCCTTTCGCTCCAGTTCCCCGCGCGGCGACCCGCAAACGCCCCCCTGCTGAGCGCTACCTCGGTCGGTGTGCTCCGCAAACCAACAGTTGAGTAAATCTGGCGAGAAGCTTCAGTTCGTGGGAGATCAACTTCTGCGGGTCTCCTCCATACGTCATGCCTGCGTCATCTTTGGGCGAATCGAGTGATAATGAGGCGGGCTCTTGGAGGCGGGGACGCCGCATATACAACCCCGGGTTTTTCGCGCCCCCGGTTTGGTTTGCGGTCAGTCGCCGTTTGTTTCGGGAGGGCCATCTTTCTTTGGGCTTGGGGGCGGAGATGGGCACGTCATAGCTGATCACGCTCGCGGGTTCGCTGCCCCTCTGCGTGTGAGTTTGGTTGCTTTGCACAACCTATACGCCGCCTTCTCGTAGAGGAGACAGCAGTCTAGAGGGTTTGTTTGGCCATAAAAAGCTCCAACGGCGGTATCCAGGTGTGGGCCACACACCCTACTCTCTCTCTCTATCTCTCTCTCTCTCTCTCTCTCTCTCTGCCGCTGCAGCTGCTGCTGCTGCTGCTGCTGCTGCCAGTGCAGTCTAGAAACATGCTTCAGGAGAAGCGCTCTCCGATGGATGAATACGGCCGATGTTTCGAAAAACCCTGTTCTGGGGGCCCTTAATAATAGTTGAGACTCCGTCTCTTGTATGTACTTGTATATATAGGAGTTTGAATCCCGGCGTATAAGCGAGCTTTTCTTTACAAAGTGAGTTTTTCTCTCGCTTCCGCTCCTGGTCTAGTGGATAGCGCTGGTTCGTGTGTACGCAGAGGGAAGAGAGTGCTGAACTCTTCTCGCAGGAGGGGAGGGTAGAGAGAAGCTCTTCTGTGTGACCACGGGTTGGAGTAAACGGCACTAAATAGTGCTGTGAGCGCTGATTTGAAGTGAAGATTTAAAAAAAAAAAAAATGCATAGGAGTATTTTCTCTGCAATAATGGGGGGGGTGGTTGTCCTCTGCGTGACACGCATTCGCATATTAGCATGCATCCAACCCAACCACCGCCAAATCACTTCTTCACTGCATTGTCCGTGCGGCACTGACAACAAGGAAGGGCAGCACGAAGAAGAGTGATGGGAGGAATCTCAAATCATGAGCTTGGGTTGTCGCAGACCCTCTTACTATTCCGATTCTCGCACCCTTGCCCGACCGTGTCTCAAAAGCCGATCTCGACCAATGGCGCTCGTCTCGCGACATCTCGACCACGCCTCGGTAGGGCATCACAACCAAGTGTTAGGAGGGCAAAACATGTTACGTAAAGATATTCGGCTCCAGAGCCCACATGCGAATGAATGCGAAGTGCTCGGTGATCTCGGTGTACCTGAAACGCACAGCAACATACCCACCGCCCACACCCGCCCGCAGGTTGGAACCTTGTCGTTACCTCTCTCACGGATTCATCTAAAGCTGGACGAGAGGCGGACCCAGTCGGGTATGAAGTCAACGGATATTTTGTTCTCTACTATGTATCCTGTAACACATGTCACAATATTAAATTGAACATACATGTTGTCAAGCGAAAGAGCACCATGTAAAGACATGCGTGCACCGGAGAAAGACTGAGTGCAAAACAAGTCCAGAATAAGTGAGCAGCAAACATTCTAAACGGACGAATGCACGGGGATAGATTGAATATGGATGGACATGGGGTACACGACAGCTATGGTCTGTAGCTACGTAGCTGCTGTTGCATGCGTCCTACTAGCCCATGACAAACATCGCCCCACGCCTTGTGATTACCCCACGAAAAACGAACCCTGGTGGCTTTTCTGATCGGAAACCCGAACCATATCCACATGCAAACAATAATTAGGAAGATGTCTTGCTGACGACCTAGAAGTAGAAACTGGGCTGGAAAACACAGACAGACGGGGCAACAAAACAAAGCGCACAACTACGGAAAAGAAAGGTAGTATTTCAATTCGTGTGGTCGTAGATAAGTAACCGGTCGGGGGCGTTAGCCCGTTCGCCCGTTAGCCCCCAGACCTCATCTCAAGCCTCATTAGTAGTGACAAAGAGAGAGAGCGGGTTGGCAACGGAAAGGAGGAGCTTGGTAAGCGCACCTAAAGCTCACCATTAACGAAGTTATGTCGGGTACCACTAGTTCTATGACGCCAAGAAAAAAATCGCGGGGGACGTCGTATACCCTGTAGATTAATTTGGCTTTCGTCCGCTCGAAAGGAGCATCCCACTCAACTCTCCTCCTGCCAAAGGCAGCTAGTTCACTTGACGGCCACGGCCATAGGGCAAGCAAGGAAAGGCAACACGCAGAGCCGACGCCGCAAAACCGAAGCAGAGACCACCAGTCTACACAAACATGCGAAGGAACGAACGTGAGAGCGTCATCAGCTCAGCAATAATAGTACAGGAGCCGTGAACGGCATGCAGAGCGCACCACACCACTACTTCGGAATTACTGAACGCTTCGAACCAGTTGAGAAGTTCAAGAATGGGTCTTCGCGATAGGTAAGAACATGAACCTACTTTATACCGACACTAAAACAAATCCTATAGTCTAATCCTTTAGTCTAGTCCATGTTCCTTCTGTTGGGTTCCCCAGGAATTGATCAAAGTAATAGGGTAAAGTAAGAGGTTTTCTTCTGTGGCCGCCGAGTTGCTTTTTACAATTTTCTGCCCGGTGCACCCCCTCTGATGGTGCAAAACCCACTGGCTGAAAGCTGAAAGCACATCCCGCTTGTAAGGGAATCGACCACACCATTGATCCTGTACCCAAGTGGGAAACGTGAACTTTCCTGGGTGATACAAGGACCAGTTGCTTGTGGGAGACTTTGGTCGTGTATGCCTTGTGGTCGCCGGTCTCATTCTTGCCCAGTGCTGGTTCCCTCGCAGCGCCAAACACGGTACAGCAGTACGAGTAGATGGCCAAGAAGATTATCTCTCTCACTCTCTTTCTTTCTCTCTTTCTCTCTCTCTCTCCCTCTCTCTTGTCCCACGAACGGCCAACGATACACTTACCACCATGGATGAAAGAATGACAGAGCAAGCAAGGGGGATGGGATGAAAACATATATACACGCCGGCAAACCGACACCCCCCCGGAAGACACAAGACACCATGGAAATATCCTATCCCGATCGACCAACAACATGCCGTCGCCAGTGGCAGCGAAATCGCCTTCGTCCAAATCGCTGACAGCTTTGACACCCATCACGAGTTGTGCGGGTGATGCGGCTGGGTGAACGTTGCTCTTGGCGGGGGGGCGCGTCCCGGCACCGGTATCGGACACACCGCCACGAAAAATGTCCAGAATGTCATGAACAACATCCCTGCCACCACCGGTCCACATGCAGGACTGCAAAATACGGCAGGAAGGGGGGCGGGGGGGGGGCGATGAGGAGTGCGAAGAAAAATAAGAGATTTTCTCGCCTGAGAAATCGGGTTCAAGGTTTTCGACAACATGTGCAACGGTTTTGTAAAAAACAACAGCGGTTTCGACGATAAATTCAATGTTTATTTCGCATTCGACCCGTGCGTCTCGTAGAAAGGTGGTACACCTACTTCGTACCACAAGGTTCGCACAAACTTCACCTACGGCCGGAGTTCAACGTGTTGAGAATAGGTAAATCCTAGCTGTCGCGCCGACTGGGCGTTTGAAAAGGCGTCCAGTCAAAACTCCTGTTCCGTTCGTCACATAGCCAAGACCAACATGCTACGCGATTGGTCGGTAAAACGCGACCGTCAGTGGGTTTGTGTTACTACGCTTTCCGATCGGCCGAACACCCACACCTTGGGTGTCTTTGCTGTCTACGGAACGAGAATTGGGCCAATCAAAGGACAAAGAACACAAGGCCACTGATGTATGTACCCCAAGCTTTACGCCGCGTCCAACAAAACTGAAGTACCGCCACGGCCAAAAGAAGGGGCACGGCGAAACGGATGATCAATCCAAAACAACATCAACCCAGGCCTGGCAGCAAGGTGAAAAAAAACAAAAAACGGTTGCACGTAGTAAACCGAAAGCCAGCAACAACTACCACGGTTGGTTTCGTCTCTCTCACTTTTGCCCTGTAGGCGAGACAGGCGTCTTCGCAGGGGCTCCCGCAGCATACGAGAGTCCTCCACGGGCTTGTGGAACAGCGCCCATCCCACCAGGATGCCGGTTACCAAGCCGCCGACATGTGCCGCCCTTGTTAGCGGACGGACACCAGCAGAGACGAAGCGGAACGTGGAAGCTTAGGAGACGGCAGGCACGTGGAGGGAAAGCGTCAACGCACGCCATGCACATGACAGCGCGACGAAGCGATGAGGTTATTCATAGCCTTGAAGGAATTCACCGTTGTTGGGCTTGGAGTATGATCACGGCTCCGAGTAAATGGCAACACGGGGCTATATATTTGATGTTAGTCGCGTTCGGTAAGTTTTATCGCGACCACGATTATCTTTTTTGTTCTCACGTTAAATCAGCACTTACACACACACAGCATTTCTGGTGGGGCAACAGTCATGTAGTATAGCAGCCCGCCGATACGATAATGGCAGGGGGGGGTTGTCGCGAATGCGAGGGCCTATCGTAACGGCTCACCAGTCCACGATGGGAGCCAGGGAAGCCGCCATCCCGACCATCGTGTACAGCACAACCTAGGAGTCGGGTGAGGCATGGAGCATCACCATCAGCAGACGGGTGGGGGGGAGGTACGCTTCACACATCGAACCATTTCATAGTCTCGCCACAAGGATGTGAAACCATATGCTATCGTATATCGGCGGAGCCAGCCCAATGATACTTGAAAGCGTTGGTTGGCATGTGACCATCTGTAGACAGAAGCACCCAAAACGTACCCCGCCGCTCCCCATGACACCACATAATGCCTGACAACCAACAACACGCCCAGCATGAAGGACATTGCTATGTATTATACCTGGGTGAGCTGTGCGCCCTTGGCGAACTCGTCTTCTTCATTCCAGGTGCAGAGGACGTGAGACAGCCACGCTCCCATGATCGCGTAGATGGCGCCGGATGCTCCGACGCCCACCTGACCGCCAAGCAAAAGGCAAGGAGATGCTGCTGCCGTGAGAGGCTCGCGACGCGATGGCAGCTTCTGAGAGGGCGGACGAAGCTATGAAAATCATGATTGTATCCTGTGTTCCTATGAATGTGAAAACCACAGCTATTATTTACTGCTGTAGTGCCACCAACAAACTCATTATGGTATCCTGTGTTCGAGATCTTGACCTCGTCTTGCCGCCTAACGACTCGACGAGTCCCTATTGAGATGTTGGCGGAAGGTTTTGCTGGGGGGCGGGGAAAGCTGGTCGGCCAGGACAGAGATGCACGCTGGCAGAAGTTGCACAAGTAACGTAAACACGCGACACAAGATAACACGCACGTCACACATGATTTGCAGCCCACATACACAAATACCACATGTTACGTGTCCAACAAGTACCCGGTGAAACGCCTTTCACAACCCAAAATGTTACCACCGGGGGGGGGGTTCTTGCGTATGAAACGGCGACACACCGCGGTGTAGCATAACTCGCCTTGTCTGGGCTTGCGACGCAGCTGAGGAGGTTTCCGCCGAGGCCCCCCACCCAGTAGACTATCAGCCAGTTCCTCGTGCCCCACCGCTCCTCAAGGAACGTGCCCATCCGAAACTGAGAGGTGAGCTGCGGGAGGCCCCGTGATTTCATTCGCAGAGGGGGGGGGAAGGGGAAGGGGTTCACGTACGCTTGGACACTCTGCACGTAGGCCCTACAAGTATGCTTTCCGCCAAGATTCACGCAAGCCTCCGCAGGTTACGGTCGATACCCAAGCACGGCGGTCTACCGAGTTCTCGGGGGGTGGGGCTGAGCACAACAGCAGTACCCCGTTAGGCTCCAGCAGTAGCGCGTCGAGGCAACAATTGCGCCGCCTCCGCTGTGCAAGGGATGAAGGATGGTCGCCCTTTCGGCACCAAAAAGCACATAAACACAACAAATAACGCTGCCGTCCTATGCCAGACTCTAACTCGTGTTACGTGCCGCGACTTCTTTCGCGACAAGCCAAAAACACCGTTGCGTGAAAAGAGATATTCGTCCTCGAGAGACAGGCGTTTGGGAGAAGTGAGCCTTTGTCAAGGTCATCCCCAAAGGCGCGTCGAGCGTAGTACCCACCGCAGCCAGTGGTGACAGCTTCTTCTCCCTGGACCATTGTAGGTTAACAGCAGAAACAGTTCGAAAGGAGAGCATGCCACCACCGTGCTTTGAGGCATAAGCGGACTCGGGTAGGCACAGGAAGTCATACCGCTCGCCACGCCTGCTCTTTCATCCGCCTCGTAAGGCATAAAAAATACAAAAATACAGCCGGTCAAATCCGCTGGCCACGCCTGCCCTAAAAGGCAACTCCACATGGCAAAAAGGCAGAATCAATTGTGTAGGTTACCGATAACCGGTGTTTCGCGGCGTCAATTTGGTTGGGGGGGGCGGCGCGAAGCGCTCATTTTCGGGGGAACCATGCCATGTGTGTAGAGGATCAAAATTATTTACTCTCACATTCATGAAAATGTGAAGCACACCGCCGTGCAGCAGAATAGGCGTCAGCAGCCTCCACACTTGTCCCTCCTGGATCAGCGTCAAGTGCTTCGCGCCCAACGCCATGAGTGTCTAACAGACACCAATGACGCGAGCAGCAGCAGCAGCAGCAGTACCACCACCGCCAGCAGCGGAAGCATGCGATGCAGTGCGTTTGATGGCATCCAGGCAAACGCGAGCAGCAGCAGAAGCAGCACAAGAACAGTTAGTGCACATGAAAACGAGCAGTGTTCGGAGAGAGGTCATACACGTCAGGAGCATCTACGAGCACCAGCTAAGGTAGCAGAACCGAACAGCCCGCCAATGGCAAGACTAGTCGCCAGTCGTTAGCGGAATGTGGCAAAAAGCGTCGGTGGCAGCAGCAGCAGGTATCATCTCGTCTGTTTTCCAGCGCCGACGTGCCCATCCAGGCCAGCAAAGGAATGAACAGACGGCAATGGACGGCCACCGAGGGAATGATTCTGCGTTACCGCAGGTGGTGCTTCCTCCTCCCCAACAGAGCAATAGAAGACCGTGCGAACAGTATATAGGTAGGCACTCTCTCTTTCTCTCTCTCTCTCGTTCTTGCTTCTGGAGCACACGCCGCACAGCGCGTCCCAAATTCCCCACTGCTTCAGTCCTCCCACCGCCCAGACCATTGCCGTTATGAGGGTAACGCTATGAGCCTGTGGAATGATATATGATACATACGGCCCACGCTTCGACGCCGCCGTGCGCGGGGAGCTCACCTCTATGGATGGCCCCAACAACGGATTCGAGTCCACCTTCCCCCACATCGACTTGTGGTACCAAAGGGTCCAGACCAGCAACAAGCAAGCAGGCATCGCCGTTGCGATCGTATCCGCACCCACGAAGAAGCCATGGCGCGCCGCCGTCAGCGTGGTCAAGGGCCAACAGAGGGGGACCGGCGTCAACAGAAGCGGGGGGGGGGGGGGGGGG